GGGGTCGGGTCGGCGTGCGGGGTGCGCCATGGGGTCGCCCGACGCGGCGAGCCCGGCCGTCCTGTTCGCCGCGCCAAGACGTCTGTGCCCTTTGCTGTCGCGGCGCTGCACCGAGGGAATTTGTTTATGGTGTTGCAGAAGTATTGTTTTCTTTAAACGTGTGAATTTTTTTGCTGTTTGTGTGTGCGCATTTGTGTATTTACCAGCACCCGTCTGTTATAACATACATCTCAATTTTGCAACAGCCGTTGGTGCAAGCAACTCCAGTGTGCATAGTCGTTTGGCATCAGTTTGTATGTTTTGCTTGCTGTTGCTATGCCAGTCTGTGCTCGCGCATTTGAGTTTTTCCTGCCCATGTCGTGTTCGCGGCAGAAGCGCGCGGTTTGAAATATGGGGGTTTAGTTACGCCGGTTCCTTTTGCAGCTTGATTACAGCGATTCAACCCAGCACGATTGACAATGCATTGGCAGTCCCAGAGGGTGATGTGAGGACGGAGGCGCCATGAGTTTATTGTTTCTGATTTCCAATTTGCCTATATCAGTGGGAACGTCTGAGAGACATGGAAAGCACAAAACAAGCACAAACACCGTATGAAGTGGGAAAGTCAGAAGGACACGGTGGCATCACAAGCGACGAAGCTGGCGGCGAACAGGAGACAACGGCATGTTTTCATCGCGCAAATCCACTGCGAACCGCGACAATCACTCACAACGTGCATGTGCAGTTTACCGAACATTACTTACGCGCCGTTTTGGCACAGAGTCGGAGGGGAAAAGGAACGTGTAGGAGGAGGTGGGAATGGGGGGAAGGGGAAAGGGTTGACGAGAAGCAAAGACGAGCAGTCGAGGGAAGGAGACAGGACCAATTCTGATCCGAAGCGTTCGGACAATTTCCGGTCCTCGGCGGCATCGCGGGAACGAAACACAATCAAAATAGTATGCGAAATGCCATGAGAGCCACGGAGGACAAACAATTGGAAGATAGCGATGCGGGAATCATTTTTTTGTTGGTTGCGGGTTTCTAGTTGTTCAAATTTTGTTTCGTTGGCTTATCGTGTTTTGTTTGCGTGCTCACATTCAATGCAGTGCCTTTTTTTTGGTTTTGGGATGGGGGTTGGGGCACCATGTTTTTTCTTGTGTGTCTTCAGATCTTCCCATCGTTTTTTTTTTTTTTTTTTTTTGTTTTTGTTTGTTTTTCAATCCTCCGTTTGTTGTATATGTGTGTTTTGCGTTTCCCTTTGTTGTGTGGTAAAGTTTTGCGTGGTTTCTCGTGCTTGTTCTTGTTCTCCTATTTCGTGTCCTGTGCGTTTTTTGTAGTTATTGTTTTTTTGGGGGCTCCGTGCCTTTTGTTGATCCCATTGGTGATGGTGCTCGCGGGTCCTCTGTTCGTCGCCTTCTCTGTTTTCTTGGGCTCTCCTGCTCCCTGTTCTTGGTGATATTCACGTGTGTGTTTGCTGCTTCCGTTATTGTTGCTTCAGTTCCTGATGCATTTCCATTTTTTTTGCTGTTCTCGTCCTCTGGTGATCCCGTTTCTTCTGTTGTTTGCATTGTCGTCGGGTTACTGTTTCGTGTGTTGTTCCTGTTTCTTTTGCTTCCCGTGTGCTCTGCTGTTTCCATGTTCTTTGTTGCCGATCCTGTGCGTTTTGCTGATGCCTTCTGCTGGAATGTCTTTTTGACTTTGCCAGTCCGCTTTCTCCATTGCCCCCGTTTCCTGCCATCTTCTCGCTGTCCATGCTGTCCCTGTTTTCTTCGCTTGTCCAGTTTTCTGTTTTCTCCCGTTTTCCTTCTTTGATCCCGTGTCCTTTGCCGCATGCTGTTCTCGTTTCTCGTGTGTGTTTTTTCCCACACACTCGTGTGTGTGTGTGTGTGTTTTTTTCCCCCGTGTTTTTTTTTCCCATTGTGTGTTTTTTCCCACAGTGTGTGTGTGTGTGTTTTTTGCCTCCTGTCTCCCGTGGTATTTGTCCTTTTCGTCTTCTGCGGTGCCCCCGTGGCCTCGGTCGCGGCGCCGGCCGCCGCCGCCGTTGCCGACGCGCGCGCGCCGGTGCGCGCCAGCTCCCCCGAGCGAGGAGGAGAGAAGGAACATGGGAGGCGAGGGGGCCCAGACCGCCAGGAGGCCCCTCCCCCGTCCTCGGACATCCTGGAGTCGCAGGGGGCTCCCCTCTGGATCTCCCATGGCCGTTCCTCGGCCTCTTCGGGCAGGCCCCGGTGGTTTTCAAGGCGGGCCAACGGCCCGCCCATCTGTCCCAAGAGCTTCAAGGTGAACCCAAGAGATCTCGAAAGGCCTTGAACTCCTAAAGCGCTTCCAAGCGGCCGCGAGCAGGCTAAAAAGAGATTTTATTCATGCGCCAAATCTGTTTCAAGTCGATGGGATCCGATTTGGACTCGATTTAACATTCCACAGTTTAGGCTCTACAGGGCTGGAAGAGGGCTTCGTCCCGTAATCGCCCAGGAACGCCAGAATTTTCCCGACATTGCCCAAAAGCTCAAGGACGCCATAGAAGGGCCGCAACGCGCTGGGTCTTGGGGTCAATCTTGGGAGATTCGGGCCTCTCAGAGACTTGAGTGGGGGCTCAAGTGTCCCCACTGGACCCCTAGAGGCCCCGACGAGATTTTCGGGATGACCCGCGCCCGCCCGATGCAGAATATCAGCGGCGAGCAGGTCCTTGGGCCGAGGGGATTTAATCTACTCCTTCCCTCCGGTGCCCAGTTTTTGCCTGCGGAGGCTTCCAAGGTGGCTCAGGAGGCCGCCTGGGGGCAGCCAGACCCGCACAGGATATTTCACCATGATTAAGTATGATTCCAGGGCACTTCCAAGACACCACAAAATGCTTCGAGAATGGCCAACGTCGGGAGGAAATTTCCATCGTTTATTATCCCCCGCCCGACGAGTAGGTGTTGCCAGCTTTTTCTGGGAGGCTCGCACGCCAGCCTTGCATGCCGCGAGCAGAACATCAGGCTTCAATCACATACATCAACAAAGTACACTTGTAACATGTAGCAACAATGCGTGTGAGTAACGTATACCACGAACGTGAACCAATCACGCTCTCAATCACATACAGCGTTACTGTATATACATTGGGCAGGCGCCAACATCAGACATAGAGGCAACACATACATTATACACACCAGTAGCATATATCGAACCATACATCATGTGCATACGTTGAAAAAGGGAACATCAACATAAGACAGGCATGCAAATCGATAGCGCACATCGAGCACATCTTCCAGCCAACACGGACGCGCATCAATGACGTGCATCAGTTCAGATGATGTCCGGCACGACGTCCTCCCGTCAAGACAGCATCGAAGAGGACTAGGCAGAACGTTCAAGGAAGCCGCCATCCCGAGCCCAGTTTTCGCAAGGAACCGCCGCCTCCGGGGGGGAATCTGACCGGGGCCCGTTTGGGGTGACGTGAACCCGGCCGGCGTTTTGTTAGATTTGGCCTATTATTTCGAGTTCGTTCTCCTCCAGTCATCAAACAAAAACAAAGTTTTCGCAAGGCACCGTCCTCCCTCCGTGGAGTTGGCTGTTGCGCAATTTCAGACATCCGGGCATCGAGTGTGCGGAAGTGTCCAGCGTGAGCTCCGTCTTGAGAACCGGCGTGCCCCCCCAGCCGGCCCACGCTGGGCCCAAGGCGTTCCCCTAAACGACCCCAAGCCTTCGCCCAAGAGCTTTCACGCGATAGCCATGGGAACCGTGTCGCGGGTGCCACAGCCCGGTCAGCTGGCTCCACGCCCGCCCACGGAGACCACAGGGACCCCCAAAGTGAGGCCCTGGAGGCCCAGGGCCAGCGATTGGCAGGTCGCCGCCGCGCTAGTTGGGCGTGCCCTTGTTGTCAGTCTCTGGAGGTTCTTTTGATGCCTTCTTGTGGGCCTCCAGGGCCGTCTTGGAGCTCTCGCTGGCCGCTCCGGGCTGCCTTGGGGTCTCTTGGGGCTGGGGCGGCTTGGGGGCTTTGCTGAGCTGTCTTTGGGCCTTCTTGGGGTCTGGAGCCTCTTAGGGGGCTCTCTTTGGGCTTCGGGGCTCTCCTTGGCCATCTTGGGCACTTATTCCTTTGTCTCTCAGTCTCTCTGTCTCTCGGTCTCTGTGCCTTTCTGCCTCGTTCTCTCGTTCTTCCTTTTGTCTCTATTTGTCCCCATCTATCCGTGAGTCTCTCTCTCTCTCTCTCTTTCTCTCTCCTTTTACCTTGGCGCTATTCGGCCTTACTTGTTAGTTTTCAGTAGTGTTTTGTTGTTTTCTGCCTGTCTGTCCGGCCGGCAGTGCTGTTCATAAAGCAGGTTAAGTTTTGGATCGAAGTCTATGGCTATTGTTTATTTATTTTCCCCTCCTCTCTGGCCTCCTTCCGCCGATTCGTTTTGATTGTCGTAAGAGTTCACGCTGCGTTCTTTGTGGTGGCCCTTTTCGAATCCTGCCAGCCAGGCGTGTTGTTTTGAATGGTCATGACATTCCATATCCCAACGCATCGATTCTTTTTGGCGTCTCTCCTCTTCGGCGAGTTGTTTGGTGTCTTCATTTCGTGCTATATGTGTGTGTGTACACCTGTATACAGTTTTGGAGCGTAGACGTGTATACATTATGTACATTTTCATGTATGTGTGTGCATATATATATATGTATGAGTGTGTGTGGGTGTGGAAGATTCGGTGAGGTAGTTGTGGTGTTCAAAGATGTTCGGGGATACATCTGTTTTGCTTTAGGCACTTGAGCCGATTCGTCCGTTTCTCTTCTTGCTTTGCAATTCCAGCCAGGTGGTCGGTTTTTATGCTTTTTTTATGCTTGTGCGCACGCTTCCACTGTTTTTCCAGGCGGCTGTTTTTTCTGCTTGTTCGCGTGTTCAGGTTGTTGGTTTCCATGCTGTGTTGTTCGCATATGTTGTCTTGACTGACGCGGCCTACTCAGCCTATTCTGACATAGTTGTACCGACGCTGTCGGTAACAATCGTGGCATTGATTCGTTGATTAGTTTGATTTGCCTTACGCCCTTGTTTCCACCACCAGGTCATCCAGGATTTCACCGAGCGCGAAGATGAGTTCGCGCAGTTATATACATTGAAGGGCGTTGTGATGAAGGATGGAAGGGTTGCATTGTAATTTCCAGCAGAAAGGGATCGTGCGTCCAATCGGATTACATGCTGGTTGTCCATCGGCAGAGGGACGCGGCCCTGGAAGTGTGAACATCCATGTGCTTGCGGCAATTTTCGCCCACGCGCAAGCGTAGCGCCCAGGAGGCCGTAACATGCGACACCTTTCGTGCCGATTTTTTGAGAGGCTTTTATGGAGTCGACCCATGCTGTCTAGGGCTCGTGTATGGCCCTCTTGGGGCCGATTTGGGCTGGTATGGGCCTTCTTGGGCTGTCTTGGGCCCCTCTGGGATGTGTGTTGGGAGCCTCGTAGGGCCGTCTTGGGCCGTCTGAGGGCCCTCTTGGCCTGTCTTTGGGCTCTCTTGGGCCGTCGTGGGGCCCAATGGGGTTTTCAGAAGCCGTCTTGGTGGCCTTTTGTAGCCTTCATCCAGCCCTTCCGGCGTATCTTTGGCTCCTCCGAGCCCCGACGTCCACGAAACGCAACCTGTTCAATTTTGGCTTCCCTTGTGGGCATCTTGGCGTTCTGCTTGGTGTCTTGGAAGCCTCTTCCGTGTCATCTTGGAAGCTTTGGACAGACTTGGCGTGCGACCACCCAGGGAGCTCTGGCAGCGGGGTGGGGCGGTGCGCGTGCGAGTGTGCGCGACGAGAGGGGCGGGGGCCGTGAGGGACCTGCAGAAGCTCTGCTGGATCTCTCGGGGGCACTCTCACGCGCGGGCGCTGTGCATGCCTGGTGGCGGGTATGGGCAGCCTGCTTCAGGAAACACGTTTTTGTAAAGCGCGGGCAGACCGGATGCTTCAGCCCGTGCCCTGGTTGTGTTTAGGAAGGGGCACAGCCGGGAGCACAGCAGAGAAGGAGCACAGGCCAAGAGGTCCAAGATGCATTTCAGCGGGTTGGATCATCGCGCCACGGTGAGCAACATTTTGTGCGATGTGAGTTTTGGTGTGTTCGATTTGTGGATCTCTCGTTGTGACAACGCCTGTGTAGTCACCACGTTTTCCCCCTTTCGATCTTGATTTTGCGTATCTGTATTTGGTGTTTGTTTCTTTCGTTTCGGGAAGTCCCTCAACGCTGGCGTTGACATCTTATATGCCACGCGCAAGTCAGACGACCGGGAGGTGGTCGTGAAGGATTGGATGGGGCTGGGGTGCAGTCGTGTTACCTGTTCACATATGACAAGGTTTTTCCAGCAGTCGTCAGTTGATTTGACTGTACGTGTCACGACTTCTATGTGCACGTTCATTGATATTTCGTTTGCTGGATTATCACATGTATTCATCGAGCCTTGCCAACGCAGTACGCATTCGAGAGTGAGAAAGCAGGAGGGGCGAAGTTGCGAGGAATCGTAGGTGTCTCTACGTAAATGGCAACATTGTAGCAGTACCCCTTGCAGCGTTTATTGCACGTGCTGTTTGATCGGTATAGTTTGGCGGAAGCCTGTGGGTCCGACGCGTTCACTCCTCCCACATTTGCACTTTGCCCACTGTGGCAGAACATCCCCGCTCATCGACTTGCAGTGAGTGCTCGTCTAAACGTGCACTAAGTTTGATAGTGTGCGAAAGTCGCGCCCTTTCGGCTTCATGCCTTCGCTTTGATCATTTTGTGGTTCAGTGATTCTGCGTGGCTGCGCTGGTTCGGGTTCCATTGCATGTTGATCCATGTGTGGCCCGCTTGGGAAGACCGACGTAGGTATGTAAGAGCGCGAGAGGCGTTCATACATTTGTTGTGGTAGGTGCTTGATCATTTGTAACATGGTTCATTGGTTTTCCTGTTGGCTCGATTAAAGAGGAGGGGAGGGTGAGGGTTGTTGAGAGGAGGAACTGGAAGGGAATGGGAGTGGAGGGGAGGGAGAGGGATGGCAGAGAATAGAATGAGAGGGGACGGACGGTGAGAAGAGCGAAGGGCAGGGGAAGGAAAGGTCGGGGGAGTGGAGGGGAGAGATGAACAAATAAAGGAGGGGGGCAACAGGCAAGGGGGCAGGGGAGTGGTGGGGAGGGGGAGCCAGGGGAACCCGAGGAGCCCGCTGCTTTCCCTCCCCCCTCTCCGCCCTTCAGCGCCCTCCCTTTCCCCTTTCCCTCCACGCCCTCCCGTCCTCCGCACGCCCCCCCCCTCCTCCTCCTCCTCCTCCTCCTCCTCCTCCTCCTCCTCCTCCTCCTCCTCCTCCTCCTCCTCCCTCCTCCTCCTCCTCCTCCCCCTCCTCCTCCTTCCTCCTCTCCTCCTCCTCCCTCCTCCTCCTCTTCCTCCTCCTCCTCCCCTCCTCCTCCTCCTCCTCCTCCTCCTCCCTCCTCCTCCTCCTCCTCCCCCCTCCTCCCTCTTCCGCCTCCTCCTCCTCCTCCTCCTCCTCATCCTCCTCCTCCTCCTCCTCCTCCTCCTCCTCCTCCTGCTCCTCCCTGCTCGCCCGCGTTCCCTCCCCCTGGCCGCCCTCTGCTTCCGTCCCCCGCCTCCCTCCTCGACTCGGCCTGCTCGACCGCTCCTCGCCTGCCTCCTCTGCGCTCCCCTCCCCCAGGAAGCGACGTCTTGCTTTTGTCAGCACGCGCTCCGCTCGAGGCCCGCCCCCTTCTCCCCGGGATCGGCCTTTCGCCTCCCGCGCTGTTTTTCAATGGCCCCGCGGCCTGGCGAAGAGGTTCCCAGAGGCCGACAAATAGGCAACAAAACAGCCCGTCGGGAAGTTTCCCTGACGAGATGGGGTGGTTTTTCCGGGTCCTCACTCGGGTCATGATTCGGAGCGATCCTGGCACCCAGGGGAACGTTTGGGCGAGGTGCAGCTGCTGAAGCGCAGCCCGAGGCAGGAAGGAAGACCCCCGTGTTGCGTCTCGCAGCTGCTGGAACGCATCTCGAGGCTGATGTTCGAAAGACGTTGCATGTCTGGCTTCTCTTCCTCCTCCTCCTCGTCCTCGTCCTCCTCCTCCTCCTCCTCTTCCTCCCCCTCCTGCTCCTCCTCCTCCTCCTCCTCCTCCTGTTCCTCCGCCTCCTCCTCCTGCTCCTGCTCCTGCTCCTGCTCCTGCTCCTGCTCCTGCTCCTGCTCCTCCTCCTCCTCCTCCTCCTCCTCCTCCTCCTCCTCCCGCAACCGCGAGCGGACGCGCCTGCCTCGCCTTCAGCGGTGCCCTCGGGGGCGGGCAGGTGCGATCGAAGGCCACGTCCTTCAAGACCGACCGCGAGCAGCAGTGCTGGCGCAGGACTGGCTCCGTGCTTGTCCCCAGGCCTCCCGGGTCGGAGGATCGCGCCGCATCGGCGATGCATCGGCGATGCGGCTCGATGCGCAGCCCGATCGTCAAAGGAAGGAAAGGCACCCGTACCGCTACTCTTCCCTCGTTCTCCCTCTCGTGGGCCTCCTCGGAGGCCCTGGTCGCCACCGCTGGGGGCGCCTCGAAATCCTGGTCAGAACGCACCCCGGGAGAGGTCCCGGGACTAGTGGTATCGGTACCTCTTCGTTTCCCCAGCATCTCTGGACCTATCCCCGCTTCCACTGGGGCATGGTATCGCAGCCCCGCCAGCCCACCCCCCTTAGATGGGGACCGACCTCGCGGAGCCCGCAGGCACAGGCAATCATACCCACCTAGATGGGCAAGGTCGGCCTGTGGGGCCTGTTGGTTTCCCCAGATTTTCTCCGCGCCGCCGGTGCCAATGCATCGCCGCGGACCCCATCTGGGAGGCCTCCGTTGCTCTCCCCTCCGCCCGTAGCCTCTTCCCCAGCAGTGCCCCGTCTTGGGCAAAGTCGGGGCGTTTTTTTTTTTTGACTTTTGGCCTCCGGGGGGCCCTCACCTGGCCCCAGGGGCATCAAACAACGGCGCAGGGTGCAAAGTCGGTCCCAGGGAAAGGCTCGGGACTTTGGGGGCCGCGTATGGACAACACCATAACATCGCGTGTTTGGGCCTCTTTCCCATACCTTAGCCTCACCTCGTGGTTCTGCTGCATGGGGGTGCATCTGTGGTAGATCCAGACATTTCCGCCCCCCCCTCCCGACCTTTTGTCAGCGCCCCTCTGCCTAGGGTGATTCTCCTGCTTGCTACCTTTCAGGATGGGAAGTGAGAGCAAAGAGTGGACGGGCAATCTGGCCTCGTTTCCCTCGAGTCCCACCAGCCCTTTGGGCGTGAGTGGTTTAGAGAGCCCGCTCTGTCCTCAACCCCCTTCCCCTTCGGGGAGGGGTTTACCCCTCCCCCTACCCCCTCCCCCTAGGCCTGGAGAGGGACTCCCGAGTGGTGTCAAGGGGGTCTTTTTCGACTCCTGGGAGGGCTAAAAAACGACGACCCTCACGAGGATTCTGGCCCCGAGGGGGGGGGACCGAGTTTGGCCCCTCTGCACTTCTTTGAAGCCAAAATCATTGATTTTACGAGGGTTTTGGCCCCATTTTGGCCTTCTGAGAGGGCAGCGCTCCTCGTCCTTCATAGCAAAATCATTGATTTTACGGAGGTTTTGGGCTCATTTTGTCCTTCTCAGGGGGCAGCCCTCATTTGCGCTTCTGAGGAGGTCGCAAGAGGCCCCAAGATGGCCCCAAGAGGCCCCCAGGAGGCTCCCAAGCGGCCCCAAGAGGCCCCCAAGAGGCCCCCAAGATGCCCCCAAGAGGCTCCCCAGAGGCCCCCAAGAGGCCCCCAAGAGGCCCCAAGAGGCTCCAAGAGGCCCCCAAGAGGCCCCACGAGGAGCCCGAACGACTCACACCAGGACGAGGGGCCCGAACGACTCACACCACGAAGAGCCCGAACGACTCACACCACAAGGAGGGGCCCGAACGACTCACACCAGGACGTGGCGCCCGAACGACTCACACCACGAGGAGCCCGAACGACTCACACCACGACGCGGGCCCCGAACGACTCACACCACGAGGAGCCCGAACGAGTCACACCAGGAGGAGGGGCCCGAACGACTCACACCAGGATGAGGGGCCCGAACAACTCACACCACGAGAAGCCCGAACGACT